CAATGTCATTCAACCAAGTCAAACTTCAGTGCGTCTGAATTTCTGTCGGGTCGTATTTTGTAAACGTTAACTGCACAACGCAGTGTTTAAACCACCGTCATAGATAAAATTAATTTCACTTCTTTACAAATTCAATATTTGTTCAAAGCTCCAGCTTTGATAGGCGCATACGATAAATATGTGTTTTAGGCTACACTGACTTGATTTTGTGGATGACATCTCGAAACAACGTTAACGTACAGGTCACGTAACAATGTTGCAAATTTGCTTAATTTGTGTGTTCATTCCAACCTTCGTGATCACATTTTTTCGCATTACGGGCCCGGTCCAGAGGATGTCATCCATAAAATCAACTCAGTGTGACCTTATGTTAACGTAATATGTGCGTATATGTTATTGCAATATGTGTATATATGCTATCGCGCAAAGTAAATATGTGCAGAGTACAGATAGAGTAGAATTACACACACAAATTCTAGACGTATAATCTTGCAATGACAGAGCGCTTCCGCACCCACCATAGTTATCAAAGGCTGTCACAGCGACAACAAAAACAACTACTAGTAGTCTCTACCAGGCTTCTTTGGTTGCCGAATAGACTGAATAGTTTGCGAGGGGAGTTAGCCTGCCATGACGCCTGTGTGTATTTCTATTGCCGACTAATTCCTCTGGCAAATTACTTTTATTCAGCTATTTGGCCAATTTCTACTACTAACTATTTTTCCAGCAACCCGAGAAATCTGGTAGAGACTAGGATTTTATGTAATTTTTAGCGTCAGTAGGAAATGATTTTTTTTTTACTTTACTAACAATAGCAGGCTTTATAAAGAAAAGATTGTGCATGTATATGGCAGGTTTTTCTCTCACACGCTCACCAAAATGTAAAACGGTCCCAATTTCCCGCGCAAAAGCAGACCTACCTATCGCCGGGTTACGTTTCTCCGGTGTTCTTCCCTTCTTGTCCCAGAACATTCCAGAGAGATCCACCTGTTCTGTCATTGGTCGCTTTTGAGTCATAAATAAATCACGTGTTTACGTTGCCTAGCGACAAGTCAGCGCCTGAAATAGAACCGCACAGGTAACCACAGGGCAGGTAAACACCGGGGATTATCCTCTGCCTTTATGCGTGACCGTCTTCCGTTCGCAGGCACGGCACAGTACCCGCTCAAGCCGCCAGACGTACACACACCCATCCACCGATCGGCCGGACACAGCCAAAAACATGGGAGGACATGTCTCTCGAACCGATTTCGAGTGGGTTTACACGGACGAGCCCCATGCTACACGGAGAAAGGAGATCATGGGTAAGTTTGTAATTGGAAAATTAGGGAATATGAGACGCGTAACAGTTATCTGTACCAAGGTATTCAAGTTACGTTACGCATTTGAATGGCGGACGGGTATAAGAAAGGCCAAAAGTTGCATTTATTGGTTAGGCGTGTTGTATCTTTTATGTTATTCTTGTGGAACTATTAACAATTATATATATACACTTCGTCATAGATATTATAATAGCTCTGGTGAGATATTTAAACGAGGAATCGTCCAGTATTTTGGCAAGGCATGGAGGCTAAGATAAACACAAAGTGGACACACCCCGATGATGCAGCACTCTCGCAAACAGGTTCGTGGTGTTTGTCTAAAGGTCAACGTTCTCATGATCAAAACGGCTCGATATGTTCTGTTTAATGTAAACGTGATAAATCAGTGCGTGTCCATCAATGATCAGTTGAAAAGAAACAACATGGAAAGAATCCTTTATTGCTTTCCGTGCCACCGTAAATGCTAGACCCACCTACTATCCCTTTGTCAAACTCATCTTCATTTACTACATGATAAAACATGTCCTTGGCTATTGTATTTAAAAGATGTTGTCACGCGACATTTTGCAAGGTCAGTTATTCCCTTCAAGAAGCGAGAAGCTTGTGTATAATTATCGTCCTAATGGTTGTGTACCCTTGTCACGTGGCCTCCCTTTCTTCGGAGAAGATTTTATACGGTAAATCGTTTACACACGGACCACACTAGCTACAGGCATATTCGGACGTGTTTATTTAACGGTAAGATATTAAACCGTGAGATAATATGTACTTTCACTGGCCTAAAGCGAGGAGCGTACGTGAGACCCGTCATGTGTTAAGAAAGTCAGTTGCCAAAAAAATATTGACTCACTTTTATGTGACTACGCTGACGTCACATTGACCTGTAGGGTCTGTCGGTTCTATATTGCTGTTGTCTCTGTTCTTAGGGATGTTTATTTTAATGACCGGGTACCAAACCACATACATCAACATACATGCATACATATATTACATACATATTTAGAGAGAGACAGGGGGAGGGAGAGGGGGCGTTTTTGTTAAACAGTAGCTACGAGCGTTGACAGAAGCAGTAACTTGAACGACCAGCAACCGAAGAAAGAGTAGCTTGTTCTATGTGGTTCACTTGCGACACGTTCCATAAGAAAGCCTGAAACTCACATATTGTAGTTGGCAGTGATTAGCATGATTATATTTAGTCATAGGCTAGTCATATTCGCTGAGGTAGGATTTCAGTGTGAGGCTAGGCATATGTCTGAACCGACCGCTGGCAAGCATTTACGACAACGTCATAGAACAGATATTGTACGAAACGTCCACGGCTGTCATTAGAATGATATCAATTTACTGTCGACGCCGTAGACACGTCGTAGCTAGACCCGTTGGACGACGAAAATTAATGTGACCGTCTCATGTAAGTGGGTCTGTAACCTGACGCTTATATATGGTGTGATGAACAGATAGAGAGCAAGTGATTTTTCATTGGCCTCTGCAAATTGAGATGCAATTGTCGCCATTAGTCAGAAAAGAATTAAATGTAAAGTAACCAAAATTCACAGTCGGAACAGTTACAAAACCACCGGGTGGGGGGTGGGGGCTGTTATACAACGAGCGTTCGGCGGTTGGGTGTGTCCGCGTCAGTGACAGGTGTTATTATGTTGCTGCCATCAGAGACAATTCAATGTGTGTCATAGGAGCGGCTCCTTTCTAAGCGTGTGGACGTCGACATTTGAAACCTCCGACTGAACCTCGCTGTGATTGGAGCACACAGAGGGAGAGACCAAAGACAAACTTATGCATGCTGGATATGTGTACATGTAACCCTTGCTATAATTTACTTTGGTTCAACAAAATATCACGACGATGGGGAATTGAAGTTGTGGGAAGACTGTCCACACTGGGTTCTTAACGTACTTGTAAACAAGATGAGCAATGTTAGTCTTGGCTAAACACACAGGATTATGATGGATTTGAAACTCAATTCGTCAATGTTTACCTTTGTTAATTCGTCTTTGTTTCAGCTAAGTATCCCCAGGTGAAGAAGTTGATGGGGCACGATCCGAACCTCAAATACTGGGTGTTTATAATGGTCGCCGTGCAACTGACGATAGCCTACTTGTTGAAGGTAAACATGAATCTGAATTTCTCTGTTGGTAGCATTCAATCTGAAGCATGATATCAAACTACCGGGGAACGTTCCACACAAGACAAGATGACTCACCAAATATTTTTGTCACCAGTCTTTATAAATGAATGGACGGTGTTGCAGATGGATCTAGCAATATCATCAGGGCCCTGTAACCATCCCTGGATAGAGGACGTAATAAATTATCTGCAACGATGTAGTCTGCAAGTAATCTCTTAACTTCCTGCTCCAGAGGAATAAACGCCTGGTTGTTTTT